TTTCTGATAAAGGTCAAAGGTAAGTGGTGTGTGTTACTTTTAAAGCGGTTCAGTAAAGTCTTTCCGATACTCAGTTCCCACCTGTCACCTGTCTCTCTGTCTCACCTGTGCGTTTCAGTCCACGGTGGTTGGTCCAGCTGGTTTGGCTGGTCTCATTGTTCTGCTACGTGCATCGCTAAATCAGATGGCAATGTCATCGTTCCCTCCAGGGTGCGACATCGCTTCTGCTCTAACCCCATCCCGTCAGACAACACATCGCCACCTGGCAACAGTTGCCCTGGAGATGCGTTACAGGTGCAGCACTGTAGCGAGCTTCCCAACTGTGCAGGTGAGAGAGGAACCAACTCATGATGTGATCCGAAAAAGGTCAAAATTATCAAATTATCTGAGCTCTTATTGGCTGTCTCTGCAGAGGACGGCAGCTGGGGCGCGTGGTCTCCATTCAGGCCATGCTCAGTCTCCTGTGGGGAGGGGCTGCAGCTGTCAGAAAGGAAATGTGATAGCCCCGCCCCTCGATATGGAGGCAAAGTCTGCGAAGGGCCGAGCACTCAGAGCAAGATTTGTGAGAGTCCATGTCCAGGTAACACACACACTGACAAACACCTGGAGCCTTGGACTGCAACACACTCAGTGACGTTACTGCTGAAAGTCTCCCTGCTGCGTCTCGTCCACGCTTCCTGGATGTCTGAGCAGGATCCCTGTTTGCTGATGTTGTGATGCTGTAGTTTAATGCTCCTTATCGATCTTTTAAAACACAAAAGCTGACGCTGTGTAAAATGTAAATAACAACAGAAGGATTTACAAAAATCATTAACACACATTTTATTTACAACAGAAAACATTCAAAATTAGGTCATATTTTCTTTTTATTAAAGTTATTTTATTAAAGTTTTACTCCGCATGCCGCCTCTCCTGGAGTTTGTACGCATGTCAGGTGACATGACAGTTAGTGTTAGCGGGATCTCTGCGTCTCTAACAGTTGACGGGTTCTGGTCTGGTTGGTCGAGTTGGGGCGAGTGTTCAGGTTCCTGCATCCCACAAGGCAGAGCCATTAGAAGGACTCGCCAGCGCGCCTGTTCTAACCCCGCCCCTTCATCCAACCCACCTGGTCAAAATTGTCAAGGTGACAGGCACCAGACAGAGAGCTGCAACCACCTGCCCTTCTGCCCAGGTACACCTGTGTGTTTCCCTACCTGTACAAGTCCTTTATGACTCCCCAGTAAATAAAAGGAGTCAGTAGCGCCCCCTGGAGTCAACACAAAGACAATAACCGGTTTTCCCAACTTTTTTTTATAAAAAAATCTCTCCATCAGTGAATGGAAGTTGGGGGTCATGGTCGCCCTTCAGTTCCTGTCCTGTTACCTGCGGGCTGGGACTTCAGGTATCAGCCAGGAGATGTGACAGCCCCTCCCCTCAACATGGTGGTAGCCCATGTCTGGGAGAAGCACGTCAAACAAAGATCTGCTCAACCAGACGCCACTGTCCAGGTTTGGTACCTCAGCACAGGTGAAAGGAAAAGACTGCAGCACAAGCTTCTGATTCATGTCCAACTTCTGTGTTTTCAGTGGACGGCGTGTGGTCCGAGTGGTCCGAGTGGAGTGACTGTAAGTACCCGGGCGGGCGAGACATCCGCTGTAGGAAGACTTACGGCAGCCATTCACGATTGCGCGAGTGTCTCCATCGGGCTCATAACGGGTCCCTCTGCGAAGGCGACAACCTGACTGAGAGACGAGTGTGCTACCACATCAAAGGCTGCAACAGTGAGTCTGTCCTCAACTTTCAACACATTGTGTTGACTTTTTAAAGAAAGGCTGAATGAGCTACACCTCGTGTTTGGAAAGGCGAACGAAACCTGTTAGAGTAACATGGGAGACCGGTGTGGCCTCACTGCTGGAGCCTCTGCTGGCCAGTAGAGGAACTGCAGGTCCTAGTGGCTCACCGGCTTCGTTTTCAGGAGTTTTTGGAGGTTGCTGCTTTCTCATCACATTTTTGTGTTACAGTGAACGGCCGCTGGGAGGCCTGGACACCGTGGAGTCTCTGTGATCCACCCTGTGGCGAAAACTCGGTCCGGTCCAGGAAGAGAATCTGCAAACCTGATTACACCGGCTACAAGTCAGTTTACAGACTGGAAAACAAAGACACAGCAAGCCAAATCAAATCTGTCGTACAGTTAAAAACCCAGTCGGGAGCTAAGATTTTAACATCACAGTGAGAACCTTAAAGTCTGAAGCCTTGTTCTATAGTCGCAGCCACAGTTTAACCAGCTGTGAGCTCCAGGGCATCTTGGATGTTAGGCAATAGATGCTACCTGGGCTAATACCACCTGTGCACAGGCCGTTAACGCAGATTTAAAAAAGAGCAATAACAAAAAGCCAAAGCGTCACGGATGGTAGCTGGCTGTGGTTGAAGTACACGTGAGCTGGTCAGACTAACTCACTTTCACCGCTTCAGTGTTCACTCGGCTCTGTTAAAAGCAGGTGAGGGCAGAAGAAGCAGGTTTACACACTTTGGTCATCTTTTGATTCCAACCGCGGTTCGACTTCACTGTGTGAAGGAAAAACATGAGATCCAAACCCAAACAATGCTCACGGCAGAACACAAAACTTACCAAATATCAGAACGGAGACATTTTAAAATTTCATGACAAATATTAATGTCAGCAAAATATCCCAGAAAAAAGTTTCTGCAAAAAACTGAATGTCTCGTCTGCAGTACATTTCTGCAAACTCCGCTAATCTGGAGGAATAACCTGTGATCTGCAGGCCGTCAGGCAGCAGCGCATTAAAATAGGATGATTCGAACATTTGACATGTTTTCTGCACGTTACTGTGAATAAAATACAGGTTTGCCCCTGCAGCCGTGTTCTCCGGCTTATCCGGGTTCAGGTCGTCAGTTGCTTTGAAAGTGAAATAAATCCAAGTACGACGGTTTTTTAGTGAGTGTCAAACTGCCGTTCTGCGAATACTACAACGTGTGTTTGTGTGTTTGCAGCCTTTTCCCTCCTCGTTCGTCGGAGAAAGCTTCATTTTATGGGACACCAAATGTCAACTGCGGCCCGTTGCCCGACGGCGAGCAGCAGGACCAGAGCGAGTCCTGCATCAACATCCCCGCCTGTGCCTAACCTCGTACATTACCAACAGTCCAGACGTCTGACTGCAGGCGGAGCTTGTGCTGCTGTTATTAGAATGATGTCGTAGATTACATTTGACCTGTGAAGTCAAAACTTCAGCGGCGTGTTTGTAATGATGATAGTTATTGTAATGGTTTCCAGCCTGGGGCCCAGGTGGCTGATGGGAGCAAAGACGCACACATTCAGCCACACAAATCTAACTTTTGTTGTGAAATGTTGGCTCATTCTACCTGTGCTGAAAGTTTTGGTTCATTAAATGATTTCAAGTCTATTTTGGTCATTTTGAGTCATGACGGAGGATCGAATCCTCTGATGAGCTGCAAATGGATCCAGCTCATTGATACTGTAACCACGACAACAGAGAAGGGCACTTCCATCACAGCAGACTCGAAAACACCAATAACTGCACGATCACTGATGGCAACACAGATTAATTTACTCAAACTGTTAATTCTGTTCATCTGGTGACTCCTTCAGTCTCAGCTGACTGCAGGTTTCCAACCTTATAAGCAGTAGTGACTGAAACCCGCCCACTGAATGAAGCTGGGAGGTCCGTTTATGATCAATATCCAAATTGTCATCACCTCTGATCATTTTGGTATTTCCTTACCTGGATGCCTGAGCATGCATCAGCACATCAATTCACTTTGTTTGCATCAAGGTAATAATAGGTAAGACCTCGGGGGAGGAAGCAAACACTGAAGCTGGTTCAGAGGAAGAGTCGAATGAACAGCAGCTGTTGGTGAAGCTGCTCTGCTTCTCAGATCTGTGCGAAGCAGCGCTGTCAGCCTGGAGCTGAAACACAGCTGGAAGTTCTCGCTGTAATCTCGGACTTCTTTGTGCAGGAGGAGCGTTTTCAGGGCCGGACGAAGGTCCTTTAAAATATGCTTTTATAAATCCATCAGCTCTCTGCCAGAGCTTGTTTTCTCTCATCCTCCCTCTCTGAGCCCGTTTCTGTTAAAAGGGAGTTTCTCCTTCCTACTTTCACCGAGTGCTGCAATCATCCGACCGCTCGGTCTCCTAGCACTGTATCATCTCTCAGTTCTATATAAAGCACCTCGAGGGGCTGTTATGAATTAATAAAACACCAAACACACACATGTACTTTTACTTCCGTCACTTCCACAGACTTTTTACTGTGCAAAAGTCTCGAGCCTCCCTCACTTTTTCATATTTTGCAGTGATTTTGTGAACCGTGTTCATGAAATACAGAATATCAGTGAGGAACAGTTTGAATCACACGAACGAGCTGGTGTGAGCACAGTCTCAACTCCGCTTTCTCATAGCTCATCAGTTTATCAAAGAACAGCACTAACGTGCAGCTGAATCCATGACCGCACCTCCACCATGCATCACAGACGGCTGCAGACTCACTATTGGACCTCCTCGGAGCCTCATGACACTTGAAAGGTTCAAAGGTCAGAGTTCAGCGTAACAAAAACATTGGTCTGAAAACAGTCAGGGCCAAGGACTGGACTGAAAGCCTTCAGCAGCTAAAGAAGTATTGGGCAACTTAAACAATCACCGAGTCGGCTCTTTGCAAACAGAAAGACATGAGCTGAGGCTCAAGACTTTTGCACAGCAGACTCTGGTTTTCAGGATTGCCTTTGGAATTAATAACAATAATAATAATAATAATAATAATAATACTAATAATAATAATGATGATGATGATGATGATGATGATGATGGATTGGATTTATAAAGCGCTTTACAATGCCACTATTCATTCACACACTGAGCCACAGCTGCAGCCACAGCTGCCCTGGGGCAGACTGACAGAAGCCAGGCTGCCGTATCGCGCCATCGGCCCCTCCGATTCCTGGAAGCATGGAACCTGTGTACAGATCAAAGAAGGAGAGCGCCTTGGTCCCGCCCACACTGTTTTATTAACAGGTGACAAGCACAGATTACTGCCCCCCACACCACAGACAACATGTCAGCACACCTGCAGGTGCAGGTTCACCCCCACGTTCACCGTTTGACATCATGGAAGTGCCCGCAGGGCACTCACATCCCAGCTCCAGCGTTCCAGTCTTCCCAGTGTCTGAATGCACTCAAGTCCAGTTCATCTGAACGCCAGCTTGTTCCAGTGCAGCTTGGGGAAGCTGTAGTTCAGTAGTCGTCACAGTAGTCGTCCTGTTTCTTCTTCTTTTCTTATTTTTTTGGTAATGACGCCCCGACAGGCGGAGCGGTGGTCGCCTCCAGGATCCCGGCCGCCGTACTGAGCGCGCCGCCTCACACACCGACGCGTTACAGGCCAGATGCATGAAGGAAACACTCGCTTTGTGCTGTTCGTATTCAACTCCGATATTCAAACTGAGCTTCAAACACCGCCCGACCCCTCCACCTCACACCACACTTTTAATGGAGTCGGGTCGTTTCTGTCCGTTTCTCTGTAACTTTGAACGATTCTGTTTTGTGCGGTGGTTGGTCAGGTGTGCGAGTGGGCGGGGTTTGATCTCATTGGGACGTGTTATAGGTGAATGAATCACTTTCAGAGTTTCTGCCTTCAACGTCCAAGTCTGCTCAGATCTGAGCGAGCTGAAGGAAGAAAACGAGCGTCCACGATCACCTGTCGCTCTCTGAAGGGTCAGCTGACTCCCCGCGGCTCGAGACCGTGGAGAAAACGCCGCTGCGGGAACTAAAGGACGACCAAGTACCACTAGCTCAATGATAAAACCCCGAAGCTGACCTAGGCTCATACTCAGGAAATATTTCAGTGACATTCACAGCGCGCTCCTCTTCCTGGAGCTCCACACCTACATTCAGACTCCGCCTTTCCTCACCTGCAGTGCAAAAATCGTACCAAAGGTTTCAGCGTACACGAGATCAACGAACGGGGAGCGGTTTGCGAGGACTCATCTTCAGGATCGGGCCAAACTCACAAAAGTCGCTCAGTGCAAATATGAAAGTAAACAACTTTACACGACGGCGCAGCAGACGGCGGACATCTCCGAGCCAATCAGACGAGAGCTTCTCACGCTTCAGCGGCAGCGCGAACATCACAAGGACGTCATCCTCAACCCAGAAATGTCTCCCACATTCTTACAGATGGCAGACGTTTGAGGATCTATGGATCAGACTCCCAGCTCACAGCTGATGCTGACCGCTCTGCATGTTAGAGCCGATCAAATCTTAATGATCAATCAAGCTACGAATCAGCTGATCTGACGAATCAAAGCTGCTTAAATTTAGCTTTAAAAGGTTCAATCATACGGAGCCCCGCAGGGGACATGGGAGAAAAAAAAATTAAGACGTGCTTTTGTGAGATCGCGCAAAAGTTGAATTCCAACAATGGCGGCAGCTGCTTAGTTGTAATATTGCTCTTTCTGGGTCACAAAATACACTTAAGATATTTTGAGGCGTGAATGTAGTTGTGTAAACGTCAGATACCTGCTCGGTTTACAAAAACATCACATATTTGCAAAAGTGCTCCGACGTTTTCGGAGATCTGACACCCGCCATCTCAAAGCTGACGGGAGGTCGAGATCTACTACAGCCGGGAGGAACACCGCTTTCCCGGCACATCGTGCCTCGACCTCCTGGTCGGCTTCGAGCCGGCGGCCTCCGAAGAATGCGGCTAAAACTTTTGCGAGGTCCCGCAAAAGTCCGTCTTAATTTTTTTCTTCCTCCATGTCCCCGGCGGGGCTCCGTACAATCATTCGTTTATTTCTGTGATGTTTTATTCATTTAAAGACCTTTTGGTGCATTCAGGGGACGCTCTCACACTTTGTGCTGCGCCGAGATCTGAGCTGGGATAAATCTGTACCGCCTTCTGCTCTCGGAATCAGAGACCCTCTCGTATCGTCAGAGGACCCCAGAGGCGACCGACACTTTCTCAGCTCCTTTCTCTTTTACTGATTTTAGCTAACATCGCCGTCTGGCTGCTCAGCGATGACATCAAAAGAGAGGCGGAGTCTCCACATCCCCGGCCCCTCCCCTGTCGACTCCCCGTGAGCCGATCAGAGAGCTCAAAGGAGGGTGGATCATCTGAAACCCGCCCGGATGCGGGACTGAGCGAGGGAGCCGATTGGCTGAAGTCTGAGAGTTCAGCTTGCTTTTTGAACATCCTTCAGTGTTCGAGTCCGAGAAACAAAGAAAAGGAAAGAACTGCAGAGAGAGAAGAAGAGGAGACGCCGTCATCACTACAGTGCACACTTATCTGTGTTAGCTTAGCATCAACAGTCTAACACAAAAACCTAATCATGAATGTAATCTCATTACTTCTGTCTGTAAGGAAATCAGTTGTTTAAGGTGAAAAAATAATAAAATTCTGTGACAAACTAAAAGAAACAAACCGTCATGCTAACAGAGCATCTGCGTCCTGTTAGCAGTTATTAATAAAGCACACAGTGATCATCACTGGGAACTGACACTTTCAAGTTGCTCTGAAACAGCTAAAAAATAAATAAAAATAAAAGCTTTGAACTGAGCGCGTGTCTGAAACGTGAAGATGACTCACGCCGGCTTCGGGCTCCGGTGCTACGTTTGTGACTCGACCCCCGGCTGGCCGCCGCCCTCCGTCCCCCGCTCCTTCTGCTCCTTGTCCTCCTTCAGCGTGGGGCTGATCTCCTCTTCAGGGTCGTAGTAATAAAACTTCCTCAGGTAGGCGATCAGAGGCCTGAGGGGAGCCAGGACAGATGTTAGCGGCTCGCTTACACTCTCCGACATTCAGGCGCGTTTTTACAACATGGACCTCGACGCAGACACGCACCGACTGATTTTTTTAGTAACAGCAATTCAGCAGATCACAGGACGCCGCTCTGGATCGTCTCCATCACAGCGACGGCGTTAGATCACCTTCGATCCGTTACTCATACCGAGGCTCTCAGCTAGCTTTAGCTTTTTGTCATGTTCTGGTGTGCTCGTGCTCGCTAACAGCAGGTCACCATGAAAGCGCATGAAACGGACTGTAATGAGTCACAGGTGAGACTCTACCTGCAGTTACATCACATGATCAAACCAAACATGTGAAACTGACATGAAGGATCAAATAAACAAAAGCTGCACAAGGAAACTAAACCAAATGATGCTTTAAAGAGAAACCCGCCACTGGTCTCAGTCACGCTGCAGCCCTTCATGCGTTTTGTTTTGGGTCAATATGATTATTTTCAACATTGTTTTAAATCCTCGCCCGGCGTCCTTCGAGGACCGCGGGATCTCGTGTCATGAAAAAGATCCACGGGACAGATAAACGTCAGCTTTGCGTCTCTAAGGTCAGGAGGACCGTGTCTGACGTGGGAGCGCTCAGGCGGGTACGTACGTGGGCAGCGGCAGCTCCTGGATGTGGTCGATCCGGACCAGCTGTCTGATGCAGAAGCGACAGAGATGCTGCAGAGACTTAACACTGCTGAACCTGGAGACCGGGTACAGGAGCTGGACTGGGGTCGGCGGCAGACCTGAACACACAAGGACACGAAACTCAAAATATATTAAATAAAGATTTTATATCAAGGAAAGTGAACCGGACGAATCAATTCAAAGTCCAGTAATTATTATAGGAACATATTTGTGGACAGCCAGCCTTTGTAACTAACGCTAATGTGTCCAGATACTTACTGAGTGTACTTGTAAAATGTCCTGTCTGTGAAGGTAGTGTAGATGAACTAATGTCTTCATTGGATCCTATAATTGTCCAAAAATATGCAGACAAGCAGAACCTGTTTTCATTTCATCAACCCCCCCCCAGCGTGTCCCTACATATTTGGCCACACCCCCCATATATAATATAATACACGGAGCATCACTGACAGCACGAAACATGGACGCAGCTTCAGGGTTGGACAAACATCGAGGTCACACTGGCTGCGTAGTTGAGTAGTGTGGCTGTGACCCACGAGGCTCCCTGTTAGAATCTAATGACGAGCGGCTGCAGCCACGTGTTTGTGGTGCGTCCGAGGCTATGTCACGCGCTTGTGCAGCCACAGATATCCTGGAGCTGATTGGATGCTGGTACCTGGGACTCGCGAGCGCAGGAAGTACAGGAACTTTCCGTTCTTGGAGTGCATGATGGCTCGCTCGATGAACTCCACCACCGAGTGACAGCGGTCCTCAAACTTTGGGTGACACCACAGGCTGAACGTCCCTGCAGGACGAGAAACCGTGAGACGGGGACGCAGGCTCACAGGCGAGGCGTGGCGCTGCACAGGTGTGTGTGCGTTACCTCTGTAGTGCTCCATGCGTGTGTGGTGTGTGATTCCCTGCGACCTGAAGCTCAGACTCAGGATGTATCGCGGGTCTGAGCTGTCCCGCACCAGAAACGAGCCGTCCGGTTTCCCCTTCAGCTTCATCTCAGCGTCCTCCCAGTTCATCGGCCCCCAGTACCAGCCGCACTGAAAGCAGATGCACAGGTTAGCTCCGCCCACTCGCACAGCAGGCTACAAAAGCAGGCGATAGTAGCTCCACCTTCTCCAGCTCCCTGAGGCTGGTGGCGAAGTTGCCGGCATCGGGTCGACTGAGCGGGCAGCGAGGGGCGAGCCGGGGGGGCGGGTGCTGCCCGTCGGGCCGCAGGGGCACGGGTCGAGGTAAACCTCGCAGGAAGGTGTCTGAAGGACATGGTGGGGGGGG